AGTGAACAGGTGAGTATATTGATACCCAACCAGAGAAGTGGTAAAACTAAAGTCATAAATCTTGCAACTTCCAATAGTTACCAAATTCCCTATCCAACTCTACAAAATTCAGAAGAAACTATCGGAGAAATGGCACATCGAATTATGCGAGATAATCTCAGTGCTAGTGTTGTAAAAGCTGAAGCTCGTGCTTTAGCCAATTCAGCGCCAAACGCCAATGCTGGCTCATCACGTCTTTCCCGACTCCGAAGAGAACTAAAAAATCTTGGCACTTCATTCCAAATAATCGAAGCTACGAAATTTCCTGATATTACAAAAGATGCCAATGAAATTCAGAGAGATCGATGTAAATTTGTCGAGGCATTCGAGAGAATTGATTATCCAGACCACTTTACATTAGAATTAGTTAAGAAAAGATTAGATAAGTATGATATTTCTATCCTGCCCGATTTACAAGCTCTCTCAGATGTTATGATAATGCTTTGTATACGCCCTGCTGAACTTACAACTTTATGCATTACAGACTCTGGAGTAACAGGTTATGCGAAGAACAGAGGTCAGCCAGATATTCCTAGAAAATTTAGATCTATAGAGAAGGATCAAGAACAAGCCAAAGAATTACTAACCTGGATACAGAATGCCATATCTTCTGGTCGAATGGGTAATCCAGGTAAGCCAGGAGTTAAATGGTTCAATAGATTCTTAAAGGATTATAATTTAATTCCTCACCATTTACGTAAAATAGGGGCTGTATATGCTGTGGTAGTACATGAGGCAAGGAATTTAGCTCATGCTATGACAATCTCTGGTCAAGCACTTCGACACAATCCTGACAATAATACTTCTCCTGCACAAAACTATGTTATAGTAAATTACAGAAAAATTAGACAATCTCCAGATCAAGCAAGACCATTCCGACTTTATGATAAGAACTAACCATGCTTTTTCGCTTTCACCATATTCACAGAAAATCTTTATCATCATTGCCAGAGATATTTACTTCGTAGCTAAGACGATTAAAAGTCAGACCCAGACGCGGATGAAGAAGAAGATGAGGACTCAGATGTGGTATCGTTAAAAATTAGTTTTTTTCTTTTAGCCTCAGATAGTGTATGATTTCTCCGAGAAATATCTGGGTTTGCTATCGAGTTTATAATATCCTGCTGAATCTCAGGTTTCACTACTTTTAGTAATTGACGGAGAGAGATCTGAATTTTTTTATTTGACACTTGTTTAATAATGCGAGATATCACACTATTACCATTTCGAGATTTATGATTATTTTCTAATGTAGCTTTATTCATTGTCAATATCGTGTAGTAATATGTACCTTGGTACTAGCTTCACTATTATTTATTATATTAATACATGATAAAATTCAGAATAAATTATAATTATTTTTCGGTTATAATATACATCATTAAACATATTTAACATGTTCATCAATACACTCGTAGAAGGAAAAATCCCAGTAAAAGCATTAATTGATACATCGTCGAAGTTTAATACCATTAGTGAGAGCTTGTTCGATAAGCTTAAAGAAGATTATGGAATACGTAATCCTGTTGAGAATCTCTATAGGGATGTAATAGGTGAAATAAAATGTTTAGATTTGCAATTTTGCTATAAAGAAAAGTGGCGAAGTTTAGATGATACCGAAGTAATAGACTTTCAAATTTGCAAAAATCCATCGTTCGATTTTATTCCTAATCATTCATCATGGGTTATAAACAATTGCACCCACTAGCAGGAAATGGATAATTAATTGTTAGTTATTTTTTCGGTCAAATATGTATCACATAATATAACGTACCATGAAAATAGTCAAAGCTAAAGTAGAATCGCAGAAAATTAATTGTCGCCTCGAACCAGGATTTCTCGGACTATCAATGTGTACTGATAAGCTCCTCAAGAAAATAGGTGGTAAAATTAGCAGAAAATTAACACTCGAAGAAAAAGATAGCAAATTCATCAGAGAAGAAGCCACAGCTCCACTTGGATTGGCCGTAATCCCACTTACATTTACATCTAATATAAAAGATAATATCCGTCTTAATAATAAAAAATCTATCACGATTCCAACCGAAGTACTGGTTGATAGATATAACTCTACATTACCTAATTATATATTGCTTGGTAATAATTGGTTCTATGGACGCAAATATGATGATGATGAGCTCCAGACTTATATACCAGAAATAGTAACCAATGCAGAAGATGCCTGGGTAAGAACAACTTTGCGTATTAAAAACCTAACTGAAAAGAAAGGGGAGAGAGTAATAGTATCTGTTAATAAAAAAGATATTCATGATTTTTACAAAATACTTCCTGGGAAATCGAAAGATTCGGGCACTTCCAATTCGGATACTTCTTCCAATTCAGATACTTCGGACAGCGATTCAAGTAATTCTTCCACATCTAGTTCGGAAATAGAAGTTACACATGCGCATAAGACTAGAGCAGTAAAGAAACACCCTATTTGAAAGCATAAAGTAAAAGGTAAAGTTAATTATTGAGCTTGATGATCTTATATATAGCCACAAAGTGAAGTAAATCACATCACGTTATAATGGGCCTTAAGGGAGGGATGTTATGTGTTTTAAATCCACGAATCAGAGATAAGCATAGAAGTATTTCAGTACTAACCAACTCACTAACCGCACTTATTGCAGAGCAATGACCCTTCAGGTTTACCCTTAAGCATAATTTTTTATCCATGATTGCTAGCAAAGATCGAGCGATCCCCCATACTAATAATTCGTGAATGA